CTTTGCTGCCAGCTCTCCGGCACCTGATCCATCCCATAGTAGGCACCAGCAATGGCCCCAGCCATGGTGGCAATGGTGTCTGTGTCCCCACCAAGTGAGATGGAATAGATGAGAGTCCTTTGGAGGCTATTGAAGGCAGAGGGGATCTCAGGGTCCGGCTCCATGCAGCGCAGGAAGCAGTAGATGGCGGTGGGCACCGACTCAAAAGCAGCAATGCCATTCCCTGTGGGGAAGCCACATTAGAGGGGCTCCATGCATCCCCAGGCCTCCTGCCATTTGACACAAGTCAGCACTCTTGGCTTCAAGCAGGCTGTGACTAAGATCTCAGGCTCTACGGTTAGACCACCTGGGCTCAAATCCTGGCTCCACCACATACTGGCTGCGTGACTGGGAGAGTTACCTAGGGGACTGCTAAGCTTCCTGCTCTCAGATTCAACTCCTTAAGCAGACAGGGAGTAACGTTAGTAACTCTCTGACAGGGCTGTTGTGAGGATGAAGCAAGACCGTGTCTGGGAAGCATTCTGCACAGCGCCCAGTACAGATGCTAGATAAATAAAATCCACTATCAACATTTTTACGACGAGTGGCCAGCTGCCATTTCTGGGGACACTGATCCACAAGGCTGAGGGTGCTGTAGCTTCGGAGCAAGAAGCGCTGAACTCAACCCTGCCATGACTCTGTGTGTCACAGCAGCCCAGGGTACAGTGTGACGGCAGGCAAGACTCCATGCTCCCCTGAGCCCAAGACCGACCCTGAAGGATGACAGAGGCGGAGACAATCCCAGGCAGGCCCACTCACCTAGCTCAGACACCACTTCCTCCCTGGTCACCGATGCCTGGTCTAGAAGCTCCCCAATCTTCTTCAGGCGGCTAGAGTATGGATGCTCCTCCATGCCCAACCTGTGGGTTGGGGGAGAGATTTCAGGGAGGTCAAAGCAAGCAGGGTGGCGGTGCAGGCAGGGGAGAGGGCTGCATGTGAGAACGAGCAGGGATGTGGTCAGGCTGCCAGCCAGGCACAGGTGCCCTGACAAGAGGTGGGAGAGGGCTGGAGGTGAGCAGGTCGTTTTGTTCTCTGGGACCCTGAGAGCCTTGAAACATAGACAGGATGAAGGGGCTTCTGCCCATGCCTCCCTAGGGTCTGCAATTAAGGAAGGAAGGTTTCAGTTTATGGCAATGCCAGAGGCCCCCTGGATCACCCACATCCCCACACCACACACCTCCAGCCCCATACTCACTCCCTGGCATCCAAGACAGACTGGGCATCACCCTCCAGCTCCTCCATGTGGCCCAGGAGTTGCTTGAGAAAGTGCTTGCTGGAAGACTCGCCCTGCAAGGCCAGGTGCACAGCCAGGGCCTGCAGGATGGCGCCATTGTAACCCAGGGAGGAGGCGTGTGTCAGCTGGGCCGAGAGCCGGGCAAACTAGAGAGGAGGAGACCTGCTGTCACAGAAGCCCTGCTGCAGAAGAGGAAGGTGACAGCCCAGAAGCCAGCCCGCCCTGAATACCTTCTGCACATCCTGGACACTGCTATAGGCCAGGGAGATACCAGCTACCCGCATGGCACCTCCATTGCCATAGGAGCCTTTCCCGTTAAACTGGGCCCGGGCAGGCTCAAAGACATCACGACATTTGGGGTTCAGGAGCTTCTTGAAGACAGTGACTACTCCAGCACCATAGCCCCTGTCAGGGTCTTTCTTGTACTCCTGAGCAAATCTAGGGAACAGAAAGGGAGACAGAATTGGGATTTACAAGATGCCTCTAAGGGTTGGGAGAGAAGAAATCGAGGCTGGTTTGGAAAAAGAGAAAGCCTTGGGGGCCTAAGGAGCCTGCACCAGCAGTGCTGCTGTTTTAGCTTGGAAAGCTGTGCCAACCAGACACAGGCTCCTATGGAGGGTGGGGGGCGCGGGCATGCACAGATGTCATTCCTCTGGTCAAGGGGTGCAATAACTTTGCCCACCTGGTTTGCCTCAGCCCAGGACCATCCCCCTCACCTGTGAGCCATGTCCACCTCGTCAAAGGCCTCCTTGGCTAGCAGGGACTGCACCAGGGCCCTGGCCATGGCTGTGTCATCTGTGTAGTACAAGGCTTCTGTGGGGAGAGGAGGGAGGATGAGAGCCTCCTGCTCACCTTTTTAAAATTTATTTGGAGACAGAGTCTCACTCTGTTGCCCAGACTGGAGTGCACTGGTGCAATCATGGTTCACTGCAGTCTTGAACTCCTGGCCTCAAGCTATCCTCCTGTCTCAGCCTCTCAAGTAGCTGGAACTATAGGCATGCATCATCACAGCAAGCTACTTTTATTTTTTTTAGAGACAGGGTCTCACTCTGTTGTCCAGACTGGTCTTGAATTCCTGGGCTCAAGCAATCCTCCTGCCTTGGCCTCCCAAACAGCTGGGATTATAGGCATGAGCCATTGTGCCTGGCTCTGCTCACCTTTTATTTTAGTTTATATTATTTTATTATTTTTTTGGTACAGGGTCTCACTCTGTTGCCTAGGCTGCAGTGCAGTGGTACGATCATGGCTCACTCCAGTCTCGACCTCCCAGGCTCAAGGAGCCTCTTGCCCCAGCCTCCCGAGTAACTGAGACTACAGGTGCACACCACCACGCTTGGCTTTTTTTTTTTTTTTTTGCCAGGCTGGTCTCAAACTCTTGGGCTCAAGTGGCCTCTCCCAAAGCGCTGGGATTACAGTTGTGGCTAGGGCACCCAGCCCCTACTCATGTTTTAGCGTTACCACATCTAAAATGACCTTAAGTCAGTTTCTCACTCCCATTCACTTTCCTGGGCCTGGGAAACCTTAGGATCTCAGCATTGGGATTTTCAGCAATTCTTTATTCCAAGTCAGTCACCATGTCCTGCTGCTTTCTATTTTATGTATTTATTTATTATCAGCCTACGTCATGCTTTGATCTGCTGATTTCTGAAGGAAAACTTCCATCCCCTTGTGGCTGCCATCCTTGCAGCTCCAGTCTATTTGTTTTTCTTTTTTATAGTCAGGATCTTGCCATGTTGCCCAGGCTAGTCTCGAACTCCTGGGCTTAAGCGAAGATCCTTCCACCTTAGTCTGTGGAGTAGCTGCATTACAGGTTGTGTGCCACCATGCCCAGATTGAAAATGATAGTTTCTGGATCCAGATACCCCCCTACTTCACTTCTCTGTAGCACACCACCAGTGACCAGTGTCTTCATCTTGAAATTCTTTCCCTAGGTTTCGTTGATAGGCACTCCTGCTCCTCCTCCTATCAAACTGTTTCCTTCCCTAGCCCCCTTCCCTCCCTTTCTCCCTCTTAATTACCGGTGTTCTCCAGGGTTCTGACTATGGCCCTTTCTTCTCACTATGCTACCTGCTCTCCAGGAAGATTCACCTTCTCTGCTTGACCTCACACCTGCTACCTGAGCCGGGATCTGAGCGCACAAAGTAAGTTAGTTTTACAGGCGAGACAGCACATGCAAACTCCTGGCCTAGGGGAAAGCATGGTGTGAGGAACCGAAGAGCAGAAAGCAAGGCCAAGGTTGGTGGAAGACCAAACTGCAGACGTGCGGGAGGGATGGACCACGTCGGACACGTTAAGGAATGTAGCTCTGAACTAAGGGTAACGGGAAATCACAGCAGGGTTTTAGGCGGGGGAGGAAGCGATTACAGTAAGGCTTCCAAAGCACGCCCAGCGGGGTGGAGAACGGGCTGGTGGTGTACTGACTCTAGAGAATCGGGAAAAACAGGTCAAGTCGGCAAGGGTGGACAGGCAGTCCCCGGCTTAGGATGGTTCAACTTAAGTTTTTTTCGGCTTTCCGATAACGCTGATACGCATTCAATAGGCTCCTAGACGTCCGATAGGGCTGCGTCCAGATAAAACAGTCGTCTAAGCTGAAAGCGCACTTTCCACTTCAGGTATTTTCAACTTACGATGGGTTTATCCACACCCTGCACGGTTGAGGCCCCGGTGCTGTCACGCCCCGAGCACGGGATGTTCGGGACGAGACGTCTAAGGCCGGAGATCGCGCTAGCACTCGCTGAGCCCAAGCTGTCTGCAGGTCATCCGGCTCCGGCCCCGGTGCCCTCGACAGTCTCATCCTCACGCACCCCCGACCCGTCGCCCCCGGAGGCTCCGCGCCCCTTCGGTCTCCCACTAGCACGGCCTCTGACGTGCGCCCGGCCCCGCCCACCTGTCCGCTCACTCCCGGGCGTGCCGGGGTCCGGCTCCAGGCTCTGGACATGACGCAGGACTGACGTCAGCTCGACGGTGTCGTGGGCCTCGTAGAAGGAGCCCACGCAGTCCCCGAGCAGCGCGCCAGCCAGGCAGCCTCGGAAGCGTGAGAGAGAGCGGGCCGCGCCAGCCCCTCCGCCGCCAGCTACAGCCATCGCCGCCGCCGCCATCCGCGCGCAGGCCGCTCGCCACTTCCGGTGTCACCCTCGCAGCTTCCCTACTCCCGTTCCGCAGCACTCCCCGGGGCCTAGAGTCACCGCTCCGCCGCCCGGCCCACAGCGCCGCCCAGCGGCCCGGAGTCTCGGCGCCGCGCAGCTCCCGCCAGTCTGTGCTTTGAGTCCCCGTTCTTCCCGCTCCTCACCACTGGGCTAACTGGATGGGAAGGCCGCTATGGGGTCCCTGGGGGATGGGCACTGAGCCGGACCACTGGATCACTTCAGGCCACTGCCTTCTGCAGGCGAGCACCCCTAACTCCGCACCCCCAGCCGGCCCTCTCCACCGAGGCCAGGACCACCCCCAAGCCCTCCCACCAGGCCCTTGCCCGCTGTGGGCCTCCCTTAAGCATCAAGAGGGCGGACCAGGGGCCAGCTGGGGCACAGCCAGGTAGAGGCCGCGCTGCTGGAGCCCAGGAGTGCTGGCCCAGCCGAGAGAGGGGTTCCTTGAGGGGAGGGGAAAGACTGGATTTGGTACATGGAGTGCGGGGGAATGGTGTTCCCCGTCTTTACTCCTCCATAGACAGGAGGGGTCCAAGAACCCTCTCCCTGCTGGCTACATACAGTGGGGCAGAGAACAGCTGGCCTGAGATCCTCTGCATTTATTCCATTCATTCTCTCCTCCCCCTTCCATTGCCCACCCAACCCTGCCCTCCTCCCGTAGTCCTCCAAGGCTAGGCCAGCTCCAGCTGGCAGCTTTTGAGTGGACTCAGGGTGCTATTTGTGGTACGTGTGAAGGTGTCCACCTCAGGCACGAACTTCTCAGCGGGCACGGTCAGCTTGCGCCGCGTGTCCATGCACTTGGTGTCCAGCAGCATGGAGTTGGCCTTGCAGGCAATGTCAGCCTGCAGCCGGGCCAGGTGCTTGTACAGGGCGTCCAGTGCGTCCCTAGGGAAGAGCATTGACAACCCCCAGCCCCCATGAGGCTAGGAGGCCTGGGCTGAGTGCACAGCCTTTAGTCAGGAAGACAGCCCCAGGGAGCCAGCAGGCAGCAAGAGGCCCCACTGCTGGGCATCGTCTCACTGCTCCTCCCACCCACTCCCCAGACCTACTGTGCTTGTGCCAGCTTCTGCTTCAGGGCAGCGATGGTTGCCTCTAGCTGGTGAACCTCGTCAGTGAGGCCATACTGTGCCTGGAGGCAGAGGGGTTGGGAGTTCCAAGTCAGCCACACTGTCCTTTACTTGAGTGCTGCCCCGTGACAGCAGTGCCCTTGCGCCATCAGGAATATGAGAAAACCTTGGCCAGGGGGCCCGTGCCCCCACTGGGACACCCTCTCACCTGGTCCCGACAGAGTTCCACATTGGGCCGGTAGGTTCTGGCCTCTAGCCGGGTATGGGACAGCTTCAGGCTCAGGAACTTTGTGCGCAGATCCTCCTCCAGGTGCCGGATGTCCTCCTGCAGCTCAGCGATCTCCTCCAAGGTCTGCAGGGGACAGAGTGACTGGTTTCCACCTGCTGGACTCACTGTACACGCCTGATCCAGTGCCTCCTGGCGGGGGCATGCGGCTCCTCATCCCACAGCAGGAAGTCCATGCCCTGGGAGACGCTCACATTCTTCTCTTGCCACTTGAGCTCACTGTACACTTTCTCCATCTCCCGCAGCCGCTTCCTGAAGGCAAATTCCGTTGCAACTCTCTGGGCTTCAAGCTCGTTGTTGGTCTGAAGGAGGAAACACGTGGCAAGGGAAGGGCAAACTCACGGCTGCCTGAGGATATTACTCAAGCGAGGGGCAGGGGGCCACGTGCACAGCAGGGAACAGAAGATAAGGGCTGAGCACACACTGGGGCCATCCATTAGCTGTGGGTGGCCCGTCACCTCAGCAATAGTTAGAGCAATGGCCTCCCTCAGCTCCGTGGCTGCCTTCATCTCAGCCTCCCCTCGGTCCTTGTTGAACTGACTGAAGTCATCCCACTGCTGGAGTGTGGTGGAGCTGCAGGTGGCAGGGAAAATGGAGGTCATGAGGGTGTGGCCTGGGAGGGGAGGAGAAGAGACTGGCTGAAACACTCTTCTTACCCATCAGGGACACGTGTGGGGTCGACCTTCAGCGAGATGTTTGGGGATCTGAGGTTGAGAGAGAGACAGCCTCTGTCGATCTCCAGTGTCTCCATTTTGCCCCGATGGTCGGAGTTGAGCTGCTGTCGGACTTCCTGCAGGAGGCTGGGGAAAGCGCAGACTCCATCAGGACCATCCCCCAAGGCCCAGAGGCAGGCCTCACCATATGAAGGGAACACTGTGGGAAGAGGAGGCTGGGATGACCCTTCCCAGCAGAAGACAATGGAGCTGCAACTGCGGAGACCAAGAGCAGCACAGCTGGATGAAAATGCTGCCACCATGCGCCTACACACCCGTGGGGCACACGGATGTAGCTGTGCTCACAAAGGCTCATACGCACACACTCACAGGAGCTACTCAGGGGTGGTGGCAAATGAGTGTCACCTCTCATGCTTCCAATCGGTGGTACTGGCTGTCCAGGGCAGGGTGGTGAGAAGTATTCCGAGCCCATGTCCAGGCAGTGGGAAAAGTGCTACAATTGATGAGTGGTTTCTGTCACAGGCACCAGAGGGCCAAAATGTAGCACGAGAGCCAGTTGCTCCTCATCCACAATATCTGTGTTCCACATTGAAGGCACACAGCCTCCAGGGGCTCGTGAACATACGGACGACCTGCCTCTCTCTTACCACAGCTGCTCGAAGGCCTGGCTGACCTTCTGTTGCAAGGCCTTCTTGGTGGCCTCGATGACCTCCACCTCTTTATGCAGCTCATCCTCCACAGGGTCCTTCACCACATCAATGTCTCGCCGGCTTTCCCGCAGGGTCAGGCACTCAATGGCCACATCCAGAGGTAGGCTCTTGGCCTGCAGGTTTTGCTCTGCTGAATCCTTCATCTAGAAAAGAGAGCGCGGCCGGGCATGGTGGTTCACGTCTGTAATCCCAGCACTTTGGGAGGCCGAGTCGGGTGGATCACTTGAGGTCAGGAGTTTGAGAACAGCCTGGCCAAAATGGTGAAACCCCGTTTCTACTAAAAATACAAAAATTAGCTGGGAATGATGGCGCACGCCTGTAGTCACAGCTACTTTACTCAGGAGGCTGAGGCAGGAGAATCACTTGAGCCCAGGAGGCGGAGGTTGCAGTGAGCTGTGATCGCACCACTGCACTCCAGCCTGGGCAACAGATCCAGATGCCGTCTCAAAGAAAAAAAGAAAAAAGAAAAGAAAAAGAAAAGAAGGGGCAGGGGGGCTGGTGGAGCCATCCACGGGGAAGTAGCACTTGTCCCCACGTTAGCAGGGAGCCAGTGACTCAGATGGACTTGCCACTCATGACCCCCCCATCAAGGGTTTCTCAACCCAGCCGTGGGGAAGGAGGGGAGGTTTTGGCAGCAGCCCCCAGGCACCCAGTCCTGGCTTCCTGCCTGTGTCAGGGCGTCGATCTCGGCATCTAAATCTGTCAGACACTTGTCCAGCATCTCCTTCCACCGGTTGACAGTATCAATCCTCTCCACCAGTCGAGTCCTGTTGTCATGTTCATCCCAAATGGTCTGAGAGAGACAGGCCAGATAAATAGGGTGTCACAGGGTTGGGGGCTATCCCTTTGCCCACCCAGCTGAGTTCCCGACCCCAACCTGGTTGTTGGTCTCATTGCGGAGCACCCGGGCCTCCTGGCGGATCTGATGGGAAGCATCTCGCTGCAGCTGGGCATTGGTGGATAGCAGGTAGCTGTTAGTGTGCCAGTCGGGCAGCTGGAAGCGCTGACTTGGCTTGACGCTCAGCGTGGCCATGGCGCAGAAACCAGAAGGGTCAGAAACCCCTAGGCCTGTTCACAGACACCACCTGCAGAGGCAAAACACGGCTGCGGGAGACCTTTCAGGAGAAGTCTCCTGGATCACACGCCCCCTAGGCAGAACTTGTTCCTGTCCATTTTGCTCTGAGCCCCCTCCTGCTGGAAGCCTGCTTGGAGACAGCCCTTGCTTTGCTCAACTTTGTGTGAGGCATTAAGTTTCCCTCCCTCCTGTCCCGGGGCGGACACAAACCCCTGGACCTTGCAGGTCCTGGAGCAGGTAAAAAGGAATAATAATGGAGTCCCGGAAGCCTCGAAGTGTGTGTGAAATGCCAAATGCCTTTGGGGGGGGGCGGGGTAGGAGGATGTCAGAAAAAAATAGTCCTAATGCAGTTTCCACACCTGCCACCAGCCAACCATGCCTTGTTGAGCTTCCTTTCCTTTCTTCCCCAGGCTGCGGGCCAGGCCCCGTGGGGGATCTAAGGGCAGGAGCCCTGTTCTCTCTCCAGGGACGCGTGCCTGTTGGCACTGGGGAGCTGGGGGCCGCCCCCTCCCCGTCTGGTAGCCGTCATGCCCACCCGCCCCTTCGCCCTCGCCTACTGTTGGAAGGGGAGGCGGGACGGGGAGGGCCCCGTGGGAGGGGCTGGGGTCAAGCCGGTTCTCCGCCGAACCGCTTTCTTCCCCTCCGCAGGATGATCGCCTTTGGTTTAGATCAGTACCCCGGTCCGGCGCGGAGGAAGGGGGCGCCCCCGCTCTCCTAGCTCCCTTACCTACTTTCCTGCTTCGCTCTCCGCGCCCCCCGCTCTGAGCGCCAGTGTTTGGCACCCCCCGTTGCTAGGCAACCACCCCTCCCCCGCGGCCTACCTGGCCTGGGTGCTTTGCTTGGCAACCGCGGCGGCGTAGGGCGGCGTCCCCGGAGGCCTTTAGGGTAGGCGAGGGGCGGCCGGCAGAGCCTGAGAGAGGTGGGGGACATCAGCGCAGCGCTTTCACTTGATTTACAAATTAAATGAACATTTGTTGTTTTCTCAGACAGGGTCTCGCTGGGTCGCCCAGGCTGGAGTGCTGTGGCTCAGTCTGGGCTCACTGCAACCTGGACCTCCCAGGCTGAAGTGATTCTCCCACCTCGGCCTCCCGAGTTAGCTGGGACCACAGGCGCATGCCACCACTCCCGGCTAAATTTTTAAAAAAATTTTAGTAGAAACGAGGTTTCACCATGTTGCCCAGGCTGATCTCAAACTCCTGGCCTCAGGCGATCCACCCATCACGGCTCCCAAAGGGCTGAGATTACAAATGTGAGCCACTGCCCGGGCCTAACCATTTTTATTTTGATAAAGGTATGCATAGACATGATAGAAAATATGAAACCGGGCGCAGTGGCTCACGCTTGTAATCCCAGCTACTCCAGAGGCCCAGGCGGTAGGATTGCTTGAGGCTAGGAGTTGGAGGTCAGCCTCAGAAACAGTGGTTGCCACCAAATGAACAGCACATAGAAAAAGTAGGCCGGGAGCAGCAACTCAGGCCTGCAATCCCAGCATTTTGGGAGGCCAAGACCAGGTGGATTGCTTGAGTCCAGGAGTTGGAGACCAGCCTGGGCAACATGGCGAAATCCCGTCTCTACAAAAGATACAAAATTTGGCCAGGCACAGTGGCTCACGCCTGTAATCCCAGCACTTTGGGAGACAGGCAAGTGGATCACCTGAGGTCAGGAGTTCGAGACCAGCCTGGCCAATGTAGTAAAAACCTGTTTCTACTAAAAATACAAAAATTAGCTGGGCGTGGTGGCAGGTGACTGTAATCCCACCTACTTGGGAGGCTGAGGCAGGAGAATCGCTTGAACCCAGGAGGCAGAGGTTACAGTGAGCCGAGATTGTGCCATTGCACTCCAGCCTGTGTGACAAGAGTGAAAAAAAAAATTACAAAAATTAGCCAAGTATGGTGGTGTGCACCTGTAATCTCAGCTACTAGGGAGGCTGAGGCAGGAGAATCGCTTGAGCCTGGAGGCAGAGGTTGCAGTGAGCCGAGATCGTGCCACTGCATTCCAGCCTGGGTGACAGAGTGAGACTACGTCTCAAAAATAAATAAATTAATTAAAATTAAAATCAGGTGCACTCCCCAGCAGGTCCCCTCCAGCAATGGACATATAGTTAATGTTGTTTGCAACAGTTCTTCTATTCTGTCTTGCCCAACAACTTTGCCCATCTTGAAGGTCATACAAGGAATGATCAAGGGATGATAATCATGTTTGGAGAGGGCACAACCCTGAGAGAGGTAACTGGGGTATGAGAAGCAATGCTCTAGTGGCACGCACCTATAATCTCAGCTACTCGGGAGGCTGAGGCAGGAGAATTACTTGATCCTGGGAGACAGAGGTTGAAGTGAGCTGAGATCGCACCCCTGCACTCCAGCCTGGGAACAGAATGAGACTCTGTCTCAAAAAACAAAACAAAACACAAAAAACCAGAGAAGCAATGCTCAATATTCAACCATTTCTTTAAAAAAAGAGAGAAGGGGAAAAAAAAATGTGTGTCTTATGTCTAGTACTGTTCTAGGGGTTGGAAAAATATTAACATTTAATCTTCACAACTAATAGGTGAGGTGGGCACTATCCCTACTTTCTTAGGTAACAAAAGAGACACACTGCTAAAAAGCAGGGAGGGAAATCCAGGTGTTCTGGCCCCACCCAGAGGACCCTCTGCTGTGCTCCACACTGCCTCTCGTGGGGTGCTGGGATAGAGAGGAAGACAGGTGTGCAGGCCTGGTCCTGTTCTGAGGGCTTTGCTGAACCAGATCCTATGAGGTGGGTACTGTTACCATCTTCACTTTACAGGCAGGGAGACTGAGGCACAGGCCAGTGAGGACGTGCCCAGGTCACATCACTAACAAGTGGTACAGCCTGGATTGAAACCCAGGCAGATGGGCCCAGGGGCCAAGCTCAGGTTTAATGGATGAGAGAAAGAAGTCCCAGAAGGGTCCATCAGTTGTTAAACATCATTGGAGGGATGGGAAGAACGGTAGAGAACCAAGGGCTTGGTAGGCAATTGAGGGATGAGGTTGGCTTTTGAGCAGTTTGAATGTGTTCGCAGTGGATCCAGCTGCTGCCCGGCAGGCATTTAGGTTGTTTTTTTTGTTTTGTTTTGTTTTGTTTTGACAGAGTCTTGCTCTGTTGCCCAGGCTGGAGTGCAGTGGCACGATCTTGGCTCACTGCAACCTCCCTTCCTGGGTTCAAGTGATTCTCCTGCTTCAGCCTCCTGAGTAGCTGGGACTACAGGCATGCGCCAACACACTTGGCTAATTTTTATATTTTTAGTAGAGACGGGGTTTCACCATGTTGGCCAGGCTGTTCTCAAACTCCTGAACTCAGGTGATCTGCCTGGCTTGGTCTCCCAAAGTACTGGGATTACAGGCGTGAGCCACCGTGCCCGGCCTGATTTGTTAATTGCAAGTCATTCAGCAGGACTGAAGCCAGAACACTATTTCCCAAACTCCTTTCATTACAGAGTATTTTTTTCCACAGGTTATTTTGTAAACTCTAATATATGACTTGTAAACTGGACATGAACAAGAATTTGTGATATAGCCTCTTTACCAGGATTGAAGAAGACAAAGAAAAAAATTTTTGACAAATTAATTGCAGGAAGAAATGATCACATTTTGGCTTACATATTTTGCAACAGCGGTATAACACAAAGAAGTAAGCAAATATGGCAGAAGTGTGGCGATTTTGGTGTCTACTTTTGACCATAGTGGTGGCCCTGGTATTTGTGGCTCCCGGGACTCCTACACATCCTGCCCGATGGAAGAAGGTGTTGGCCAAAAAGGTCAGCCAGCTGATGGATTGGACCAAGAAAGACAGAGTGATAAGAATGAGTGACACCATGTTCTATCATTTTGTATTAGATGCACCAAAAAACTATTCTGTTATTGTGATGCTTACTGCTCTCCACGAGTTCAATTCATGTGTCATGTGCAAAGGTGCTGCCGAAGAATTTCAGATCTTGGCAAACTCCTATCAAGGCCCTGGTGCATTCACCACAAAGGTATTTTTTGCAGTGGTGGATTATGATGAAAGCCCTGAGGTCTTTGAAGCGCTCCAGGTGACGTCAGTTCCGAGTTTCTTCCACTTTTCTGCCCAGTGGAAATTTACAACAGATGACATTTATAATTTGAGAGGAAGGGATATCGTTGCTGACCAAATGGCTGAATGGGTAGCAGAGAGAACACATGTCAGCGTCAGAATCAGACAGCCTGCAAATTACCATGGTCTCCTCAAGCTGGGGATACTTTTGGCTCTCACTGGCGGACTTGGGTATTTCTTGAAATGGAATAGGAAATCTATTTCTTGCAGAATCTTGTGCGAAGTTTTAACTCTGTGCTTTGTGATTGTGATGACGTCTGGTCAAATGTGGACTTATATAAGAGGAGAACCATATGTCCAAAGGGACCCTCGCACAGGACATAAGCATTATATCAGCAAATTTAGTCAGGCTCAGTTTGCAGCAGAAACATTCATTATTTCCCTGTTTAATATGTGTGTTACCCTGGGAGTGGTGCTGTTAGATAAGGCTGCCACCTCGACGATGAACATCATAAAGAGAAGGATGATGTGTCTGGCTGGTACGTGTCTTGTTGCCATATTCTTCAGTTGGCTGCTTTCCCTCTTTAGATTTAAAGTACCTGACTATCCATACAGGTTTCTCTGGGATTAAAAAGGATCCTACAGACATAGACAATGAAGCAAGAAATTTGAAAAAAAAAAATGTGAAGCAGAAAAATGCAAACTCGTAACTTTTTAAAGTAATTGAGATTTCACCAAAAGAGACCATAAGTGCCTTAAGTGCTTTCAAAATCTGTGAAGTATTATAGTTTGTGTCTTCTCTGTTCTTAATTTTTCTCCCCCAGTGTTATAGATTACTTCAAGTTGAATTATTAAAATCTTTAGAGAGTACAACTTTCATCGAATCAGAACAATGTTTTACAATGTTTAAAAGTACTTCAGTTAATATTAATACTTGGTTAGCTGATTTTATTCTAATATGAAAAATAATCTTTTTTCTTTTTTCTTTTTTCTTTTTTGAGATGGAGTCTCGCTCTGTTGCCCAGGCTAGAGTGCAGTGGCGCGATCTTGGCTCAGTGCAACCTCCGCCTCCCAGGTTCCCGCCATTCTCCTGCCTCAGCCTCCCAAGCAGCTGGGACTACAGGCGCCTGCCAATGCGCCTGGATAATTTTTTGTATTTTTAGTAGAGATGGGGTTTCACCATGTTAGCCAGGATGGTCTCGATCTTCTGACCTCGTGATCCGCCCGCCTCGGCCTCCCAAAGTGCTGGGATTACGGGCGTGAGCCACCGCGCCCGGCCAAAAAATAATCTTTTTTCTTTTTCTTTTGAGGCAAGGTCTCCCTCTGTTGCTCAGACTGGAGATCAGTGACACAATCTGTGTTCACTGCAACCTCCGCCTCCTGGGTTCAAGTGATTCTTCTGCCTCAGCCTCTTGAGTAGCTGGGATTACAGGCGTGTGCCACCACGCCCGGCTACTTTTATGTATTTTTAGTAAGGACGGGGTTTTGCCATGTTGGCCAGGCTGGTCTTGAACTCCTGACCTCAAGTGATCCGCCCCTCTTGGCCTCCCAAAGAGCTGGGATTACAGGCATGAACCACTGTACCCAGCTGAAAAATAATATCTTGACAGGGTATTCTCACACCTGGCCACTGAAGATAATTATTATCCCTCCATGGCAGTGTACATTTGCAGTCTGTTTTGTGGGTGGAGAGAGCAGTTGTATTATGTTGTCCCCTGAAGTTTAAATACCTATGTTTAGAGTACACTTCCAAAGCTCAGAGGCAGATACATACTTCTTAGTACTACTACATATCCATCTCTCCTACTGGAATACACCAGTATGTTTCTTTTTTTTTTTGGCTGTTTTTTTCTTTTACCATGCTTTTTTTTTTTTTTTTTTTCCTTTTTCTTTCTTCTCAAGACAGAGTTTCACTCTGTCCCCCAGGCTGGAGTGCAGTGAATGGCGTGATCTCGGCTCACCACAACCTCCGCCTCCCAGGTTCAAGTGATTCTCCCACCTCAGCTTCCCAAGTAGCTGGGATTACAGGCGCACGGCACCAAGCCCAGCTGATTTTTGTATTTTTAGTAGAGATGGGGTTTCACCATGTTGGCCTGGCTGGTGTTGAACTCCTGACCTCAGGTGATCCGCCTGCCTCAGCCTCCCAAAGTGCTGGGATTATAGGCGTGAGCCACCGCACCCGGCCCTTTAACTATGCTTCCTGATAGTTGTAGAAATTACAAACCAGTTTAAACACCAGATTACAATTTATCTTTGATTATTAATTACCTTTTATCTGGAAAGATTTCAGATATCTTTCCTTGTTTTTCTTTCATGGGGCCAATCTCTAACAAAATAGTATTTCCTATTTCTGTGTTGACTTTGTTGACTTGAGGTTGTTTTCCATTTACTTTAAATCTAAGAGAAAAATAGGTATAAAGACATTTGAGAAGATAAATAATAATTTCATTCACCCATTCTATTTAGGAGCCTGCTAAAATATCAAGTCATTTCCAAGATGCAGAAACACAAAACTGAACACCCTAATAGTATTTTTGTAATTTTAGTAAAATCTGTTCCATTTCAGCCTTTCTTCCCTCTTAGTGGAAAAACGAGGTACAAATTTAAAGACGTTTTCCCCTTTTATCCTCCTTCTGTAATATGTTGATAAAGTCCTAAACATCTTACTAACATGCTTGGCAAATAACAGCAAAAATTTAAGTGGAGGATTTTTTTTCCTTATTTATTTATTGAGATAGTCTTGCTCTGTGGCCCAGGCTGGAGTGCAGTGGTGTGATCTCGGCTCACTGCAACCCCTGCCTTTGCCTTCAAGTGATTGTTGCCTCAGTCTCCCGAGTAGCTGGGATTACAGGCGCCTGCCACCGTGCGCAGCTAATTTTTGTATTTTTAGTAGAAACGAGGTTTTACCACGTTGACTAGGCTGGTCTCGAACTCCTGATCTCAGGTGATCCACCCACCTTGGCCTCCCAAAGTGCTGCGATTACAGGCGTGAGCCATCGTGCTGGCCTGTTATTTATTTATTTATTTTGAGACGAAGTTTCGCTGTTGTCGCCCAGGCTGGAGTGCAGTGGTGCGACCTCAGCTCATTGCAACCTCTGCCTCCCGGGTTCAAGTGATTCTCCTGCCTCAGTCTCCAGAGTAGCTGGGATTACAGGCGACCGCCACCATGCCCAGCTAATTTTTGTATGTTTAGTAGAGATGGGGTTTCACCATGTTGACCAGGCTGGTCTTGAACTTCTGACCTCAGATGATCCACCTGCCTCGGCCTCCCAAAGTGTTGGGATTACAGGTGTGAGCTACCGTGCCCGGCCCCGGCCTGTTGTTATTTTTAAGACAGAGTCTCACTGTGTCGTTGCCCAGGCTGCAGTGCAGTGGTGTGATCTTGGCTCACTGCAACCTCTGCCTCCAGGGCTCAAACAATTCTCCTGCCTCAGCCTCCCTAGTAGCTGAGGTTACAGGTGTGCACCACCATGCCCAGCTAATTTTTTTGTATTTTTAGTAGAGATAGGTTTCACCATGTTGGCCAGGCTGGTCTTGAACTCCTGGCCTCAAGTGATCTGCCCACCTTGGCCTCCCAAAGTGCTGGGATTATGAGCCGGGCATGAGGCACAAGGTTTGTTATTAAATCAAACTCCACCCTTCTCTCTGGAACTTGCCATTTTAGAAATGTGAGAACTGTGATTGTGAAAATGTTTTTCAAGCAACAACAATATAATGTCACATTAGAAGGATTCTGTCTTAAATTGGGACTCGCTTGGCTATTTACAGTCAAGTAACCCTCTTTCAAGGTCTGGTAGAATATTTGAAGGTTTTATGTGAGTGTTTGCCAAGGGAGTTGAGTTTAATGGCCCGGAGTAAATTATGATTAATATTTTTAGCAGGAGGTGACTGGGAACAGTTGACCTCTCACAGCCGTTTTTTATTGTTCATTATTCCAGAGGAAACTGCTTGCCTTTGACCTTTTTTCCAGCTTGCTTTTCTGCTGGTCCTGTACTTGTCTCAGGCCAAAGAAATTTGTGTTGAGATTGTCAAGGCTGAGATTTGGGTGAGGCTAACTCGTTTTGCACAGCATACTCGTCAGAGAAATAACAGCCTACTTCAACTACACAGCTGCAGATGATTTGCCCTGGAGGTTAAAACGACGATTCCTACCACCCCATCTGCCCTTCTTATCTTCAAAACCCACTCTTTTTCCATAAGAAAGAAAAGTCTCCAGGGTAAAATAAATGGCAAGTAACTTTGCTGCATTCAGTAAAGTGATATACTTTTGTGCAGATTTTCAAATTAATATCTAAATAATCTTAGACAACAGTAATAATTTTACGGTCTAGATAGCACCTATGAATATGTAGTTTTCAATACTATTCAAAGGGATACTACAGCTGGCAAACTTTCTTAGTGTAAAATCTTTATACAAGCACCAATATAAATAGGAAAAAATTAAGATTAAGCTTACAAAACAAAATACAAAAAATAAAAAATATAAAAAGATGGTTAATTTTTTTTTTTGAGATGGAGTCTTGCTCTGTCGCCCAGGCTGGAGTGCAGTGGCCGGATCTTGGCTCACTGCAAGCTTCGCCTCCTGGGTTTATGCCATTCTCCTGCCTCAGCCTCCCGAGTAGCTGGGACTACAGGCGCCCGCCACCTCGCCCGGCTAGTTTTTTGTATTTTTTAGTAGAGACGGGGTTTCACCATGTTAGCCAGGATGGTCTCGATCTCCTGACCTCGTGATCCGCCCGTCTTGGCCTCCCAAAGTGCTGGGATTACAGGCTTGAGCCACCGCACCCGGCTCATTTTTTTTTAAACAGAGTCTCGCTCTGTCTCCCGCCTCAGCCTCCCAAGTGCTGGGATTACAGATGTGAGCCACAATGCCTGACCAGTTAATCTTAATTTTACATCTGTATAAAATACATGTGAAAGCCATCTGAGTGATGGTGCTGACTGAAATTCTGTCTGGTGCAGCATCAGACCATTCCTACGTTCTGTTTTATTGTTTTTGTTTTGGAAGACAATATGCAAATTCTGTTTGGCAACATAGTTACAGTAAAGGAAGAGTAATATTATACATTTAATAGTTTCAAGTGCTTTTGTTTTGTTTTTGTTTTTGACACTGGGTCTCACTCTATCACCCAGGTTTAAGTGTAGTGGCATGATCATGGCTCACAGCAGCCTCCATGTCCTGAGTTCAAGTGATCCTCCCACCTCAGTCTCCCATGTAGCTGGGACTACAGGAGCATGTCACCATGCCTGGCTAATTTTTGTAGTTTTTGTAGAGACGGGGTTTCACCATGTTGCCTGGGGTGGACTTCAACTCCTGGGCTCAAACAATCCACCGGCCTTCGACTCCCGAAGTGCTGGGATTACAGGCATAAGCCACCATGCCCAGCCTCAGGTACTTTTGAATTGGCCTATTTTTAAAATCATTTAGCAAAGCCTATTAAAATTTTGTTTCAGTTGAGAACCGAACATATTGGACTTTATGATACTAAGCCACTAAGGTATCTGTTTTGTTTATAATTATAAATTTTGAACCCCAGCGTTATTCATAAGAAAAAAACATTTTTTTTTGAGATTGGGTCTCGCTCTGTCACCAGGCTGGAGTGTAGTGGCACAATCTCGACTCACCACAACCAACCTCTGCCTCCCAAGCTCAAGTGATCCTTCCACCTCAGCCTCCCGAGTAGCTGGGATTAGAGGTTCACTACCATGCCTAGCTAATTTTTTGTATTTTTTGTAGAGTTGGGATTTCACCATGTTGCCCAGGCCAGTCTCAAACTCCTGAGTTCAAGCAATCCACCTGCCTCGACCTCCCAAAGTGCTGGGATTACAGGTGTGAGCCACTGCACCCAGCCCAAGAAAGGTATTTTAATAGGGAAA